TGGTCTCGGAGATTGGAGAGGAAAAGGGAATTGAAGATGACACAAAGGAAAGTAAAAAAAAAAAAAAAAAAAAAGGGACTAATCCAAGGAAAGAGGTAGAAAAAGGAACTGTCAAAGTAAGTAAATTGGGGGGAAGGGGAATAGTTCGTATGGATGGATGATGCAAGGGCGACCGCTGCAGGAGGGAAGAAGAAGAACAGCAAAAAAAGAGAGGGAGAGAGAGAGATTGAGGAATGACAGCACAGGGAGGCAGTCTGAGGGTAATCAGGCGCTAGGGGAAAAGTAGATTAGTGAGGAATTATCCCAATAGTTCAAACAAACTGGGAGTAGGAGTCAGATGGAAGAGGGATTGATTTCAAACAAACAGAGTCGGATGAAATAATAGTACTAATAAAAATAACAATAAATGGAGGTACGGTACAGAGTATTTGACGTGGGTTGGGCGAGAACGTGATTGTGATGGGGGGGGGGGGGGGGGGAACAAGATTGTTATGGTTTGGAAGGAATTCAGGGTCGTGCTACTAAGTTACTACCTTGACTACAAGTATGAGTACAACAGGTCTACTCTGATAAAGAGAGCCGAGGTGATGCGATGCGATCGATAGCTTGCTTGATTGACTGATCGAAGGGATTGAATGGGGGCTGATTGAGCGAGTGACTTGATTGTCCTCCCTCCCTCCCTCCCTCCCTTCCTTTCTTTCCATCCCCTGAGCTCAATAGTTAGTAGTAGGTAAGTAGGTAACTTAGCCACCAGAACGTCATTTCATCCCCAGACCATCCAGCAACCCAACCCAAAAAGAATACGAGCACGACCAAAGTTAATAATCATGATGACAACAATCCACCACCCCTTCAACCACTAGACTGGTTCCACAACACCTGACTTGTCTCAAATTACAGGCCACTTTCAGGGAATTGGAAATCACACAACCGATAGGAAGGAGAAGCGGAGCAAGAAGAAGAAATAGAAGAAGAAGAAGCAGAACAAACAGAAAGACTTCAGCTCTCTGGATTGAAGACGGAGTGCCTGACCCTCAAACATCCGTGCCGAATAGGATCATGGATGACTCTGCCTTTGCCAACCGACAAACCGACTGACTGACTGGAGGATAAACTAAAGGACGGGCTGCTGCTCAGGGTTCAAATCTCTTCGCTTCAAACGATTATTATTTCCTTTCCTTCTTCCCTTTTCCCTACATTAGTGTCTGTGGATCACAAGAATTGTCTCCTCCCTCCCTCCACTTTTGCTGTGCCACTTGGCCCCCCCTGTCTGCCTTAGACTAGTTGCTGGGCATGAGCCATCAGGGCAAGTCGCAGGTCATTCGATTCTTTCCCAAGGCTGGAAGAGCGGGGAACAAACCGACAAGCCACTCACAACTACTGGGTACTGGACCTCAGTGATTGCTCCGACGCTCCGAGATTAAATTTTGCATCTTTGGGCTTTACCCTTCCGGACGATCCGGGGGAAGGAGGGGAGCGACAGAAAAGCCCAGGGGCATTTAGTTGACCCAAATGCTGGTCAATTGGTGGTGATGGTCGTGGTTGGTACCTTGAGAATTCAAGGTTCGTGAGGGGGAAGCTAACTCAGTTAACTTGAGGGTCTCTTCATGACTATAATCATTGTCGGACTTCATGCATCAAGAGTAAGAGTCAGCTAATCATGACCTTATAATTGACCATCGTACTCTGTAGTGTATGCATCCATCAATCAGGCAGCAATCGCCTATCTGGCAGGCTATTCCACCCGGCATCCGTGCCTGGGGTGCAGTTTTACTGTTACTCCGAGAGATTCACATCCACATCTCACTCACACACACACACACACACACCGACTTGACTTGACTGACTGCTTGGCATCTGAACCAGCAATTATTGAGAAATCGGCCAGCGTCGGCGGGACCAACTTTGACCACGCGCCTTTCATGGATGGTCATTGGGTGGTCGGACGATGGCTGACCGTATGGAAAATGAGGAGGGATTCGGACTGACCCGACAATCAGAATTGCTCTCTTCAGACTTTACCTGCGGAGAGGGAAAAGAGTTCAGGCACAGATGGACTGAGGCTTGAAAAACTATACCCACTGCATCTATCTATCCACCCATGACTACCGGTAGTACTGAGTAGCTATGATGTGATACGAGAATCACTGATCTTCTGGAACCATACACCCACAGTGATCAGATATGATGAACAGATGAACGAATCCCATCCTCGGGCTGAGATCATAGTTCCCCCTCAGTCCCCTCAAACACAACAAACCAACCGAGGCTAGATCGCTCTTCTCGAATTTCTTATCTTTCTTTCTCTCTCTCTCTCTCTTTCACTCTCTACACTTCCAGTACAGCACTGTCACAGTACAACTCGCGTCACTCTCTCGCCACACCCCATAGGGCTAAAGGCTAAAAGATGACCTTATCGTCATAATGACAAGAAGACAAAGCGGGAAACCATTTCGACACTAACGAACCATAAACAGTAGCTTATTGCCCCCCCTTCCCTCTCCCTGGTCAATGATTAATGAGGAGAATTAACCAACGGATGCGGAGAGAATCCTCGTATCTGCCCATCACCCAAACCCCAGGTAAGTTAGTTACTGTAAGATGAAGTGAGTCGGTCACCTGCCATGCCCATCCATTATGCATATCCTCGAATAAGTTTAGCATCCATCCAGTACAACACTACAGTGTACTATACAGAGATAGATAGCCTCGTCCATGTGGCCTAGCCCGCGTCGAGGGGGCCATAGGGACATCAGAGTCACTAGTTAGCTAGCTAGCTAGCTCGTCCTACCAATAAGTTACTCCTTATTGACGACTTAAGGATAATCGGTCACCTTCTGCGCAGGGTCCGACAAGTGATAGTCAGTCAGTCAGTCAATCATCTCCGTCCCTTCCCCCCCTCCCCGCACGGCACACCACAACGCTCAGGCATCTCAACAACCCTTACCGACCTGACTACCTACATAGATACTCATATCCTCAAACTCTCACTTTTCTATCCCCCAGTACTCTGTACGGTAGATGTACTCCGTAGGTCCACCAGCTATCGCTTTGCATGAATAGTCCCATGCACAATCCAAAAAAAAAAAAAAAGAAAGCCATCCTACAATAAAGTATTCGACACGTCCGATCCAACCCATACATCAATACCTAATCGAGCCAAGGCGATCAAGAAGAAATAACCCGACACACACCCTACCGCAGTTTCAGACACCCCAGGAACCCGGGGACCTAAAGTACTGGTAGTTTGGTTCAACGATTAATTCGCGAGGCACAGGCACAGTCCTACAAGAAGGCGTGATCGGAGGCTGGTGTTCGTGCCACTGATACTACTATGCCCGGGTGCCTTCAGAACGTAAATGTGGGCCAGTGGCAACTTACCGCTTCCTCTATAGGCATGATCTGAAGCTTTTTCCACGAATGCCAATCATGGGTTGTGATAAAACCGGCAGATCTCAAATTATCTAATCCAGTTCCACTTTTACGTTCTCAAGGCACCTTACCGAGTACATACTACGATGGGAGGGAGGGGGTGGTAGCGTGCTCTCCTGCAGATCATCGGAGCCGCTCACATGGTCAGTTGCGCTTGAAGGGTTCGTGACAGGGCGCACACACACTGGACGATCCGGAGGATTGTAACCACGCGATGATGGGCGGAAGTCGCTTGTGCTGCACGTGGGACATACGGCGCTTGAGAAACTGAAGGTGGATGAACGGAGAAAAGTATCCCGGGGTGTATCTCATTGTCTACAACACATGCCACGTTCAGGTAAAAGGGGACAGATGTTAGGCTACTTATCAAGCTACAGGGCATCGAGAAAGACATAGGATTGTTGCCCTCCTATCAGAGTATCCGGTACTATATCTTCAGATACACATACATTAGCTGGGGGGCAGACCGTCATTCCCACTCGCCCTCCCCAAAGTGTATAGCCGGCAGATCTGCAAGACGTGAATGCAGTCAATCCTACCCACCACACCCCAATGCATCCAGAGAATTCTTTATACCCAGCTCACCAAGATGTTATCAGTCCGCCATCTCCAGCCCACGTGGTTTTTCTTGCGACTCTTCTAAAGCCCGAGACCCACACTCCCCATGTATAGTTCAACTTCAAGGGGTCGATCACTCTCTTCCCCAATGCTCTTCTCATCCCGCTGATCCATGCGGATGGGGCATCTAATCCACTTAAAACTCGCTTTGATGACAGTGCCATATAAAACAAAACTAGCCGTCGAAGAGGTAATCAACTCCGCGATAGAACGGGAACGGTTCAACCGCCCTTTCTCTGTCCAGCAGCGCCAGGCCCTGCAGTAGATGTGTTAGATGAATGCTGAGATCTCTGGCGGTCAAGACGGGGGAGGTGACCCATACCGATGGTGGCGCTAGCATTGCGCAATTCGATCTTCTTGCGTTCCATTTCGAGCTGTACGATTCATGTCAGACCACCACTGTTTGCGCAAGATCCACGAATGGCTAAATGACTCACCACCTTGCGTACTCGGGCAAGGGCAGCCGTGTCACCAGCCACCAGAGGCCGACAGTCGTCCACGTGGTATGGAGCCGCAATGGAAACTGCATCCGCCACAATGATCTTGGCCCCATCCCATCTCGCCGGCATGGTCCGACTGAAGGCGTCGAAGATGTCCTGCGCCTCCCGAGTCACGCCCTTGCCACGACGAGCCTCGCCTTCGTGCGCTTTAGCGATAGCATTGGCCTCTCGGTTCTTCAAGGAACGTATGTCGAGAGCGTGGAGGGGTGGTACTGCGTCGGCGAAGGACGGTCCGTCGGAGGCGGTGGCAGACGGGGCGAGGGAGAGGATTTGGACGGATTGTATACGCGAAATCGGGATGATGCGGTAGTTGCCGATCTGGGACTGCTTTCCATCGGCGGTGTCAATGGCGACTAGATTCGTGATAGGGTCAGCAGTAAAGAGGGTACCCTCAATCGTCGACGCGACCGGGGCTGTGCTGATGCGGACACTAGGAGATGATGATGGTATCAGCATACGGACGAATAGCACTTAGCCAGCAGCAGGCATCGGAAGCCGCTCATGGGCAACCAAATGCACATCAACACCAGGCTATACAAGCCCGAGAAGAACAGGGAGCTTTACCGTGCGCCAATGGCGCCGCTCAATGCCACTTCCAAAGGGACCATGGCGCCTGTCGCTCCCTGGCTTGTGGCTCCTGCGGTCGGTCCTTGCGCAGATGCTCTCGCTCCCACACTTGGACGTTTGTTGTCTGCCATAAGCCTGCCTCTGCTAAAGATGAAGGGTTCGAATGAGACTGTCCCACCAGCGACAGCACCAAGTCCAGCAAGGGTCCACTATCGGGGACTATGTCGACCGAGGCGAGATTGAGGTAGAACCTAATCAAGAGGAGAGGAACGGAGACACCTGTTAGAAGGACAAACTAGGTCAGCCCGGCAATCAGACTATTGTTAGGCAATGCTGGGAAATGCTGAAACCACGGTCGTTACTAACAATGACGATGGAACTTGGGCGCGGAACAGGCTGAAGTGGGACGGTGCGGGAACCGCAGTTGAAACAAAGTCGGACAAAAGAACGACAAGACAAGGAAATGCTAAGACGGCAATGTCCATACAAAATGATACCCACCCGACTTCAACCGATTGGAATGAGAGGAAGAGAGAGTTGAGCGCCTAGAACGCCGCACATGTAGGGGATTGAAATAAGATACTGAGGAAGGTTCCAGGAAGATGGAAGATGCAGAAAGAGGTCGGAGAGCGGCGACGTTTGGCCGACCCAATCGGGATTAGCTCAGGGCGGAGCGAGACTTCCGTTGCAGCACCAATGGATGTATGAGTTCTCATGCCATCATGACTACACTATTTACGAGTGTTTAGTAGAGGCCCACATTGTGCTTGCTTGCATGATTCAAAGCAAAAGCTACTTGTTTCACAGTCACACCACAACTGTAAAAGAAAAGAAAAGGGATCATTTTATTCCATACGTTTTTAAACGTAACAGTAAGCATCTAGATACATAGTACTATGAAGCAGAATTTGGTATACTTCCTGTTCGGCTTCTTGTTTTCATCATGTCATTCCTTCACTCAGGAAGCGCATAACGCGGACTCCCTGAGCTCAGTCCAACTGTCCCCTGCTAGACCCGTGCGAGGCTTCACGTCCAGCGTATTACATCGCGTGTTTGATTTAAACAATGTAGGTCGACGCAGAGACGTTGCCACCACGGCCGGTCCAGTTGACGTGGATGTCCTTACCCTCGGGGTAGGTCTCGCTAGCGTGCTCGGGCTTGATGCGGAAAGTGTGGGCACCGAAGTAATCACGCTGAGCCTGCAGCAGGTTGGCGGGGAGGTCCCGGGTGCGGTAGCCGTCGAAGAAGCTGAGGGCAGTGCTGAAAGCAGGAGTGGGGATACCCCAGAGAGCACCCTTGCTAACGACGTTTCTCCAGCCCTGCTGGGCGTTGTGGATGGCCTTGTTGAAGAAGTCGTCGAAGAGCAGGTTCTCAAGGTCGGGGTTGTTGCGGTAAGCGTTGGTGATGTCCTTAAGGAAGACGGAACGGATGATGCAGCCACCACGCCACATGAGGGCAATGGAGGGCTTGTTCAACTTCCAGCCGTACTCACGAGCAGCCTATTTAGGTTCACGTCAGAAACTGCATATCGGACTGGATGCGGGAAGAGTCTTACCTCCTGGATGAGCATGAAGCCCTGGGCGTAGGAGATGATCTTGGAGGCATACAGGGCCTGCTCGAGGTCCTTGATGAAAGCCTGCTTGTCACCATCGAACTCGGGGGTAGGGCCCTGGAGGAGGCCGCTGGCACGGATACGCTCGTCCTTGATAGCAGACAAGCAACGAGAGAAGACGGCCTCACCGATCAGGGTGACGGGCATGCCAAGGTCAAGAGCGTTGACGGCAGTCCACTTGCCGGTGCCCTTCTGACCAGCCTTGTCAAGGATCTTCTCGACGAGGGGAGTTCCATCCTCATCGTTGTAGTAGAGAATGTCACGGGTGATCTCAATCAGGAAGGAGTCCAAGACGCCCTTGTTCCACTCAGCGAAAACATCGGCAATCTCCTTGCCCTTAAGACCAAGACCGCGCTTGAGGATATCGTAAGCCTAGCGATAGATAGTATGATTAGCATCTGTACGTGACATTCCGATCCTTGATTCCTGCAGGCTGAATGACTTACCTCGCAAATGAGCTGCATGTCACCATACTCAATACCGTTGTGGACCATCTTGACGAAGTGACCAGCGCCCTCGTCACCGACCCAGTCGCAGCAGGCCTCACCGTCGCTCTTGGCGGCGATGCTCTGGAAGACATCCTTGATGTAGGGCCAAGCCTCCTCGTTACCACCGGGCATCAGGGAGGGACCGTAACGGGCACCCTCCTCACCACCGGAGACACCGCTGCCGACGAAGCGGATGCCCTTCTCGGCCAGGTACTTGGTGCGGCGGTTGCTGTCGGGGAAGTGGGAGTTACCACCATCGATGATGATATCACCCTCCTCAAGGTGGGGCAGAAGAGACTCAATGAACTGGTCAACGGGCTTTCCGGCCATAACCAGGAGCATGATACGACGGGGACGCTTGAGCTTGGCGCAGAACTCCTCGACGGAGTGGGCACCAACGATGGGCTTGCCTGTTTGTACGCCATGATGAGTTGATTTTGTTTGGAATATGATGCCGATATGAAACTTACCCTTAGCCTCGTTCTCCAAGAAGCGGTCGACCTTGGAGGTGGTACGGTTGTAGGCGCAGACGGTGAAGCCGTGGTCAGCAGCGTTAAGGATCAGGTTCTGACCCATAACGGCCAGACCGATGAGACCGAAATCAGCACTAGGCAAAGAACGCGCCGGAGCGCCGACATTGATGCCGGCGAGGCGGGCGCTGAAGTCAGTCGCCAGGTTCTATGTCAATAGGTGGGTAGATAGAAAAGAAAATGACGAACGAGGGGATTGATCCCGTTGTTTGAGAACGTCGGGATCAATGCGACCCTCTGGACCTGCGGCCTCCTCATCGTGATAATTCACAGACGAAGGGCAATTCGAGTTCATGACAATGACCCGAAAGTCATCTCGAGGCTAGTGTACGCTCCAAGATGGTAGCCGCATGGTGAAAGAGGATCGACCAATGCATGCATGAAGGAATGCAATGCATGGATGATGGTAATGATGATGATGATGATGATGATGATGAAGCATCAAGACAGAGGAGTGGTAGAGTTACTTACACAGCTTGGTCGGCCATGATGAAATTGTGGGGGGTGGGAGGGGAGGAGAAAATTAGGTATGGTTTTTTTGGAGAAGAGAAGCAAAAGAGATGAGGTAGTTAAGAAGAGGGTGGGAGTGACGGAGGATATATGAGGAGAGAAGGAAGAGGGACCAAGAAGGGGAAGATGGGAACGGGGCAAGCGAGGGACCGTAAGAAGGAAAGCATTGGAAGATGTCAGAGCAGGATTCACGCAATGTGGACGGGGCTTACGGAGCAGCTCTTCCGTCATGGGTGGGACGGGAGGTTGAGTTGGGTTGAGCGGGGCAATAATCGATTATGGATAGACTAGAAGGGGAGGAAGCAAAGAGGGGAGGAGAACACCACTAGGCAGAGGGAGGGAGCAGAGTCCTCCGGTGAGACCGGCCAGCTTCTTTTGGTAATTTGGTAACTACCTACAGATCAGATATATGAATTGATCATGATAAAAGAGTAACAGAAATTAGACTACATTGCAATTGCTCAGTATTGAATCGGACTCTATTCAAATGGCTCTACGTATCCAATCATTTAATCAGTGTGAGATGGCAGTATTCATAGATACCACAGTTTCCATGGTGGTAGCTGTTGTGAATCTAATGATGATGCTCTCTCTCTCTCTCTTTCTCTCCCTGCTCTGATGGCGGGGCAATGGAGGGGCACAGCAACCGGCAGCGGCACTGCAGAAAATCCGCTAGAATCCGGCCTACATCGGCCCTGAAAAAGGAATTTGTCCCAGAGTAGCGCTTTCGGTGAAGCTCGTTCGGGAACGGATAAATTGGGACCGCCTTCCAAGTCCATTCCCACTCTTTCTGCCCCCCACTCTCATCGGTTCACCCATATGCTCAAGTAAGAAGTATGTGTATGAGTGTACGGAGTACTCATCCATGATCCATACGAGACCCGACAACCACTTAACCGCTTAATCTCCCTTCATCATCTTCATTCTCCCAGAAGGTGAGACCGGGATGATTGGCCATCGCCATCAATGGTAACTAACCTACTCCGTAGCTTGCCGCCAAATAGACCGGATTATCAGAGCGGATAATCCATCCCTCCCTCTAGGCTTAAAGCCGATCAGAACAATTCCCGCCGGAGAAATCTACTCCATTTCCGGGGACTCTGATCATCCCGCATCTGCTAATTAGTCTAAAGCTCAACGAAGCCGATGGGGGTTCTTTTCTCCGTGCTAGTCAATTCAGTATGGTCTGCACTTGGAGTCTTTGCTCAAAGATAGTAACTTGAGTATGAGTAGTAGTCTGTGGTCGGCAACTGCATTTCCCAGTCAGGTTTAGGGTGGGGGTCAAGTTGCATCACATGGGTTCAATCACTCGAATCAATCATAATCGGTTGGGGGTTCAGGACCACCACCACGCAGTGTGGCTAGCCTGCGCTGAGTAAGAAGATCGGGGCCAGCCAAATCATTGACTCGACTCGCCCGCGGGGGTTCCTGAACTTCGATATCATGCAGCTCGCAGGACGGAGTATGCGTGTAGTAGCATTCACCTCACTACCAGGCAATAAGCAGGTTGTTACTTCAAGGCACTAAGGCGGTAGCAGGTTGTCCCTCGTATAGCTCATCCTCGTATAGACCGGACTGACTTGGTTTCCAAAGAGGAAACTCCCCGCTGATACGTTACGTCGCTACGTATTCGAGTCATTCGTTGTCAAGCCTACATACCAGTGTTGAAGAGCGCTTTCTCTCTCGATGGAGGAGGCTAGGCTAGCTTGGACCAGAACAATCAGATTCAAGGATTCAGCAACGATGCGTTCGCTATCTGCATGCATCGGTAGCAGGTCACGTGTAGCCGCAGCCTCTGCGGCAGCAGGGTGCAATGGTCTGTTTGCACTTTACGGCAGGCTTTTGCAGTCGCCAGCGCACTTTTTCTCTTGCCGGCTGTGTCTGTTGCTTCAGGCATGTAGAACCATCTGCCAGCCCATCCACTCACACTATCCTCACTGACAAAACCAGATTTCCATACCATTCTCCTCTTCCTGATCACCGTCTCGCGATCCCAATCAATACTGCAACTCCCAAGCAAGCGCTATTAGCGTCTATCATCAACTATATACCCAGTCTTCCAGGCTGTGTGGTCTGGCTTGAGATACGGCATACGGCCTTTCACCTTCCAGTCACACATCTTCCGCACCGGGATTCGGGACCTTTTTCAGGCGTGACGTCTGGCGTATTGACTGCGACGTCAGTCAGGCCCTGAAGGTACGTGTCTGTTGCTAGTTGCTGAACAGCGCATCACACTATCCACCGTTTCTCCCTTGTACCGAACTCTCCGTTCATCATGTCCTTTCCGCCACCTCCAGGTCTTAGGCAAGCACCTTCGTCGCTCCCTGCGCGTCCGCCACCACCAGCGAGCACTGCTTCGCCTGCCACCTACCAACAACCCGCATACTCGGCTGCGCCCTCGTATGCGCCGCCCGGTGCAAGCAGCGGGTATGGTAGTCACGGGCCGTCGCGACCGGGCTACGGCGCCGCCACTGCCTTCGCACCGCGCTCAGTAGCCTCAACTCAACCCTACCGTACCAGCAGTCCTGTGGTGTCCGCTCCACCTACCTCAACCAGCGGCTATGCAACACCAACCACGACCGGCTACGGTAATTACTACCCACCACAACAACAACCACAAGCATCGTACCAGAGCGCCCCGACCTACTACGGCGCCCCGGCCCAGTACAATGACGGCACCTCGTATGGCCCGTCTGTGCCACGGATCCAGAACCCCTTCCAGCCCGCCGCCGGAAGGGGCTACGGTGGTCGCAATGACTCCGGCATGGATCCGGAGACGGAAGCGCAGATTGCGCAATGGCAGAGCGCCTACGCGAATAAAGAGGAACTCCCGGCCCCCGGCAAGGTCCCTGGACGCCGAGATGCCAACCAGGGAATCGGGGCTGGGCCTGCATCCGGCGCGAACACGCCATCCGGCGCCGCCACCGGTGCCAACACGCCGGCGCCGATCGTGGGGGTGCCCGAGCCCGCGCCAAAGACAGTTGTCCGCTCCGGTGGTGGACAGAACTGGACCGACTCGACACTCTTGGAGTGGGATCCGGCGCACTTCCGTCTGTTCGTGGGAAACTTGGCGGGCGAGGTTACGGACGATTCCCTGCTGAAGGCGTTCGCCAAGTACACGTCGGTGCAGAAGGCGCGGGTGATCCGCGACAAGCGCACGCAGAAGAGCAAGGGCTACGGATTTGTCAGCTTCAGCGACGGCGACGACTATTTCAAGGCGGCGCGAGAAATGCAAGGCAAGTACATCGGCTCGCATCCGGTTCTGCTCCGGCGGGCCACCACCGAGGTCCGGCCCGTGTCCAACAACAAGAATGGGAAGAAGCACGGGGGTGGAGGCGGCTCGGGTGGGGGCAGTGCTGGGGGGGGCAAGGTCAAGCATGATGGAGTCAAGAAGCATGGAAAGACCAAGGGCGGACTGAAGATTCTCGGATGATCGATGGGATTGAGTGTACTTTGTACGCAGGCTCTCGATCAAGTAGGCAATCCGATGACGACTTATGCTACGACTGGGGTACATGATAGAAACCTGAAGCATCCTGTAATTTTCGGGTAGTTCAATTTGTACGCAATATACCCTTATCCTCATCCTCGATACGTCAACACACATGCTCAAAACATACTCGGTGATATATAAACAATCCCCCAAACCAGAACACCTAGGGTCGAAACCAGTCCACCCTTCCTAAGCCCTCGAAAGAAACCCAAGCAAAATCCATGGAAAAACCAATAACAAACCCTCTCACTTGTAGATGGACACCTCCCACCTCCTCAAGCCCCTCAAGCCTTCCAGCTCATCCCTCCCCCGTCGTAGAGTCAACCATAATCCCATCATCCATTGCATCATATCATAAGTCATAACCACATTCAAACAACATAAACAACCAAGCCCCAATCCAGCAGGTGCATAAATATACCACAGAAGATTCACGATCAACTTGACTCGACTCGACTCCAAGAAACACCTTTTCCAGCGAGTGCGCGATAGCATCAACCGAGAGAAAAACCCACCAACCGAAGTTGGTGAGGAGGGGGGGGGGGGGAGTGAAGAATCACCCACCCCCGCCTTCCTCCCCGCTCTCCTCATCGATGGGCCGTTTCGGGTGCGTAACGCGGTTCCTCATCGTGTGGATGCCGTAGCCCGCGATGGCGAGGATGATGAACAGGACGATGATGATCACCGCGATGGCGATGTTTTCTTGCATTGTTGCCCGTTGTTGGTGGAGTTGTGGTTGGGTATGGTGGGGGTTGGATGGTGAGGTGAGCTCTGGGGAGCTGAGGTTCCAAGTTGTTGTGGATGGGGGTGGTTAATTGGGGTTGCGGTTGCAATGTCTCATGGGATCGGTGGACGTAGATCTGATGTGTGTGTAGGTAGGTAGGTAGGTAGGTGTTTATCGATCTGTGCGCACGATCTGTGGGGGACGGATCTAGATTTTGGTTCCTCAGGAATGTATGTATGTGGATGGGGTGTCAAATTATCCGGGAGATATATTGATGGTATATATGTATGGGTTTGGGATTCCAAGGGAGGAGAGGAAGATGGAGAAAGTAGAATGGGGGAGGGCTGGCATGTTTGTGGGACAACTTATAAGGTTCCAATTGTCCACACACAGCAGCCAGCCAGCCAGCCTTGAGTGACCATTGAGTGATCATGGATGGAGTCAATCAGTGCCTGGGCAAGTAAGTGTTCCCCAGCCATGCTGTTTTTACTGCCTGGCCTTGTTTATTGCGGGTGGCTGGGGAAATGCGGTGATGCGGTGATGCTAAGTTGCTAAGTTGCTGCGTTGCCGGCGCTAAGGCTCGAGTTGGTCAAGCCTTGAGGTCGGTGGTTGATGCTATTTCGGGCAATCAGCTTTAGCAGTGGAAACTTAGCTCCAAGTTGATTGTTTATTCTGGATAGGCTATAAACCTTCGTCGGGTTGTTGATCGGGGATGTTGGGCTGTAATGTACGGAGTACTGTACATCTAGGTACTGTATATAATACCCAGGTTGTCTGCAGTGGAAACGCAATGAGGTATGAGCCCGCACAGTTTATAGGGCTGTTGTCCACTCGGACAAACTGATACTTCCATAGTACCTCATCTGAGGTCGAACAACTCATTCAAAACTAGTCCTCCGAATGAGATTGACACCCTTCATCATCATCGCTCTCCTCATCCTTCTTCGTCTTCACTGTCTTCCCCTTCTTCTTCCCCGCCCCATTCATCATGTCCATCAGCGTCTTCTGTCCCTTCTTCGCGCCCGATCCCTTGGCTGCCTTCTTCTCGTCCGCCTCCAGCTTCCGCATATACTGCTCCATCTGCTTCTCCCGCATCTCCTTCCCCTCGTCCGCCAATCTCGCTTCCAGAGCTCGGAACTCCTCTCCCTCCGGATCCATGCCGATCAAAGACTCGAGAAGCTCAATCTCCTTCGCCCAGACACTGGGATCGGCGACCAGCTTCCCCGCAGCACCGGCTGGTTTCTTCGGGGCCTTCTTCTTGCCCTTCGCCTGCCCAGCCTCCCCATCCTCCCCGCCCTCATCCTTCGTTACGGTTTTGGCTTCTGGCCGGTCGATCGGCGTCTCCAGGATCATGGGCACGCCCTCAAATCGCTTCTCATTCATAACATTGTGAAATGCACGTAGGCCCAGGAATCCCGTCCCAATGTTCGCGTGCAGATCCCGTTTACTACCGCGGGGCGCTTTCGAGTCGTTAAGATGGAGGGCCCGGAGATGTTGGATGCCGATCAAGTCCTCGAATTCCTGCATGAAGGCCGCGAAGCCGGTGGCGCTGACAAGGTCGTAGCCCGCCGCGAAACTGTGACAGGTGTCGATGCAGATGCCAATTCGCGGGTGCAAGTCAGCAGGGATCTGGGCGAGCAGATCCTTGAATTCCGAAAGGGAGCCACCGATCGTGCTGCCGTGGCCACACATGGTTTCGAGGACCGGGATCACGGTCGTGGTGGCGCGGAGGGCAGAGGTGAGAGCGGAGGCTAGTCGGGTGATAGCACTGGCGTGTGGAGTAGAGTTGGCAGAGCCGGGACTGTTCGCACATCATCAGTATTCGTGTTGTAGAGGTCATGTGTGCAGAGGGTACGCAGAGCTGGCTGGCTTACTGGAAGTTATATAGTTGGATGCCCAGAGCTTCGCACCGACGGAGATCGTCGAGGAAGGAGTCGTAGGCTTGCTTGGCTTTGGCTTTGTCATCTTGGGCCAGGTTCACAAGATAAGAGCCGTGCGGAAGGATGTGTCTGGGTTTGAGGTAAGTTGGGGGCAGATGACAGATTGGCGTAGGGGAGCTCACTTTGCTGCATCATACTTGTGCTCTTTACACATGGCGCGAAATTGATCTCGATGGTCATCCTGAAGGGGTGGATTGTCCCATTTCCTTTGCGACTTGAGGAAGAGAGCAAATGCGTTTCCTCTGACGTCTCGTTAGTCGATGGCCATCAGAAGGAGACTCTATGGGACTCACCCTATGTGCATGCTGTTGTTCACCGAGTTGAAAACGCCTATACCGATTATTAGTACCAGGACAACAATTCATAAGATAAACTGGAAGCCAAGTCGACGCACCTTTGGCTGCGCTGACATGCGCGCCGACAAGCATGCGCAATCCCTGGGTCCGAGATCTCAAGGGCACCATCTCGGCTTCTTTTGTTTTCTGCTGCCTGGAGACCTTAACCGTTTTCGATACCTTCTCCTCAGCCACTTCCTCCTTCACTGAATTGACGTTGTCTTCTGTTGGTGCCTTCACAGTGACCGTTGTCTCAATCTCTTCTTCCACTTCCTGCTTAACTGCGGCGGCGGCGGCGGCGGAGGCGGCTGCCTTGCCTTGACGAGCTTTGTTGTTTGTCGAAGTCCCTGGACTCGCAGTTTTGACTTCACTGCCAGTTTCCAATTTAATCGGAATCGTAGACAATGAAGCAGCAGAAACTCCAGCTGTCTTAACGCGCTTGGACCGACGAAGTGGGGAGGTTCGTTCGCGATCTTCGCCGATAAGCTTGCGTTTTTGGTCTTCCGGAGAGCGCGGTGGCGAGACGGCGACAGCGCTGGATGCTGCTTTGCGAGCACCGCGAGGAGGCATCGTACCTTTGTCTGTCAACAGCGAGTAGGACTCAACAATTATTGGATGATATTCGAAAATCAAGTAGTCCGATGATTAGACGGTAGGTCGACCAAAACTGTCAAAATTGGCGGTTTGGCGATATGGAGACGCGGAGCGGAGCGGACTTTGCAGGGTCGAGGCCTTGCGTTACTCCCTTGGAGGCAGCCAGTGGTTCTGTCAACGTAATACCACCATGATGTCAAGAGAAAAAGTCTTGATCACCTCCACATAGTTACAGATAATTGATACTTCTACATCATCTCAGAACCTTGCAAGGCAGTCACCTACTCGATACACACTAGAATGGAGGGCAACCAACTGGTGGCAGCTTCAATTTTACCTTTCTAGGACTAGCGTACATGTGACCGGTTGTCAGGGCAACCGAATCCAGACTAGCGGCTGTTTATCGATAAACTCGATTTGCGTCAACTTCTTCCTGCTTTGGCTCCCTTGCAGCCTGAACCGTGTCGACCATCGCCCTCCATCGCCTTCCATCCACCAGCAAATCGCGGACAACAACTATAATAACGACCCAGATACCGCGGAAACGACCCTTTCAGTACACATTCGAAGTGGGCGATCCTTATCTCGCTCTCCATCGCCGCCATGGCGGCCTCAAACGACTTGATCGACTTCGATATCATCGAAAACCAGAAGGAGAACATTCAATCGCTACCAGGGGGACGATCTGCTCGAGAGCTAGCCCGAATCTTCAGCCCCCGAGAAACGACGGACAAGCTCGCCGTTCCATCGCCAAATGAGACCAAAAGCGTCAACGATGCTATCAGACAAGAATATGAGGCGGAGCTGCAAGCCATTGACGAATCCGATGACCCCCTCGATGTTTACGACCGATATGTGAAATGGACGCTCAACGCCTACCCCTCCGCCCAGGCCACACCGGAATCCGGGCTTCTTCCTCTTCTCGAACGCGCCGTGAAACACTTTCTCTCCTCCGCACACTACAAAAACGACCCCCGCTACCTGCGGCTATGGCTGCAATACATCAGACTTTTCTCCGACTCGCCACGGGAGACATTTGCTTTCTTGGCCCGTCATCGTATTGGTGAGAGCCTCGCGTTGTTCTACGAGGAGTTTGCGGCCTGGCTGGAGGGTGCGGGGAGATGGACACAGGCAGACGAGGTGTATCACCTCGGTATCGAGCGCGAGGCTCGGCCAGCAGAACGCCTGGCTCGCAAATACCGCGAGTTCCAGTATCGTTACGAACAACGGACGCAGGATAGCGGTCCCTCGTCCCCGGCCTTGCCCGCCGTCCGCCCAGCCTTGGCGGCCAAGGTTGACCCTTTCGCGTCGGCTGCCCCCGCCTCGCCTGATGCCCAGGCCGAGCGCCCGGCCCCCGCCCGCAGCGCCGCCCCGAAGACGAAAGCCGGCAAACCAAAAATGACGATCTTCTCCGACGCCGACGTAGCAAGCCAGCCGGCGGTCAGCGGACCGGCGCAAGGCTGGGACAGCATCGGATCACTGCAGGACCGACGCAAGGAGAATAAGGTGGAAGCGAAGCCCTGGGCGGGAGAAACCTTGAAGGCCGGAAAGAAGCCCGTGCCGAAGGAGAAGATGACGATCTTCCGGGATGAGGTATGTGCATTTCCCGATTCTCTCTGACTTCCAGATATTTACGATCGCAGGACTAATTGGTGGCATGAACCCGGGTTGGTTTACGATTAATGTATTCAGTCAAAATCCAAAATTCAAGTCAAACAAGATGTTCCAGATGTCGTGCCAGAGCACCGCGTAAGGGAAGCGATCAATCCACGTACCGGACGCCGGGAACGCGTTTTCGTCAACCTCGATGCCGTATACCCTGATTATAAGAATCCGAACCATGAAGTTAGCTTCGAGGAGCTCAGGGCGATGAGGCGGGGGTGGTTGAAGAAGAACTGGCGGGTGCCTAAGGTGCCTCTCAGAGAGATTCCCGGCAATTCTAATGCCGAAATGACCTCCGAGAATCCCCTCGAACATGGCATAGAGAACGTACTACCGGATCAATTCAGGCAGAAATTGACCGTGAAGGACAGAGACACTCATGCGCAGGAGCACGGTGAGGCAAATGCTGTCCAGGAAAACAAGACCAAGGCACGAAAAATGAAAATGCGCGAGGTCAAGCAAGAAACCCAGACAAGTAAGCGTGTTTCCTCGAGCCTACTGATGATATGACGCTCAGA